ACTCTTGAGCTATTTAAATATTCAACAGCATAGTGTGTAATTTCCCTCACTGTTTCATAAGGCAGTTTTCTACTAAATTATACTGGTTTAAGGTGATAAAATAGTATTTTTAATAATCATTTTTAATGTTTGAATTAAATTTCATTCAGTCAGATCACTTAACTAGGAATGACTGAAAAATTAAAGAATATTCGTGTACAGTTTTATTGTACTAGGCAGGTAGTTTGGAGTGAGTCTTTTTTTCTAGGTACATTATTTGTATAAGCAGTCCCTCGTGGCCCACCACATTGATTCTTGGGAGAAATCATAAAACTGATCTTTCCAAAATGAATCATGTAGCCCTATGAGAATAATACTGCATTTTGTGATTACTTTTTTTTTTAACCAGAAGTTAACATCAAATAAATAAAGAGGCCCTAAGGAATAAACAAAAAGACAAGTTAAAAAAAAGATGCAGTTATAAACACGTGATCAGTTAGGATGGTACATTGTAGTCTGAATTTGTTTGTTTGCTTGTGACAGGGTTTTGCTGTGTAGTTCAAGCTGACCTTTAACTCACTATTCAGCCCAGGCTGGCCTCAGACTCAGTGATCCTCCTGCCTCAGCCTCCCAAGTGCTAGTATTATAGGTGTCAGTCTAAATTCTAAAGTAATACAGGCTTTGAATTCTAGATCAATTGCCTCATTCTATAGCTAAGCCAGAACTATGACTTCCCCACAGGTTAAGAGTAATGGCAAAATGCCACATTATAGTGTATCTTATAAAGTATACCTGTCATTATATTCTCCCCTTTATAAAAATGACATAAAATAGCTGCCCCATTGATTAGTATGAGCTATACCAGGGATTTGTTAAAATTATCATCAAACCTTTTGTTATTGTGTATTCCTACAAAATGGATGTTTTAGAAAAAGTTGTCCACAATACACTTCCATTCTTTTCAATTAAAAATATACAGCTACCAGTTATAGCTCCTATTCAGTCCAAATAAATAGTGGTTAGACAAATGGATGTAATTCTGTCCCAAACAGAAATTTTCATTTGAATTTTTGAAATAATAACATAAGCTAGACTTCATAAACTCCAGAAGTCTGGTAGCCCCATCTTTGACAGTACAAAGCCCATCTTAAATAGCTTTACCGAACAGAGGAATTATTGCCTCCTACTTCGGTAACAATCAGAACTATTTTTGTGTATCTCTTTATTACTGAGTCTGTTTTAAAACAGTCATGTCCCTTTTATGGGGGAAATCCTGTAGGGATCAAGACGCAGAAGGTAAATATGCTAGACTGAGCTGTACGCGTTTGACTATGTCTCCAGTTCATCTGTCATCAGGTATAAAAGTGCACATTTCTTTCTTGTGCTGAATCTAAGATTTTGACAATAGTTTTGATTATCCTGAATCTGGTCTCTTGTTCACCTCCTTCCCCACTTATTTCTCCATGTCCTAGATTCCTTTTCCAAACTTCTCAACAGCACTTTTATAATGAACTGTCTGTGAAAAGCAAACCTGTTCAGGAACATTCCTTTAACTTTCAGCCCTCCGCGGAACACTCCCCACTAGACTCTTACCTATGAGGGGTCATAAAACGTGGTCTGCAGTCTGTTATGAGCAAGTTGCATCGAGGTGCACTTGGATCTTTGGGAGTGCTTAAAGCACACTGCATTAGCAAGTTCGCAGCTCATTCCTGCTTCCTTCAAAAACACCAGAGTTGTAAAAGGTTCATTTCAGTGCTGTGGTAGTGTTTTGTGTGTGGTTCTTTGTCCCTGTTCCAAACTCTTATTAACCACCGAAGTGACCCTTCTCCCAGGATTGGCCTTTTGCATTCACAGTGTATTCAAAACCTAATTACAGATTAGTCTATATTTGAGACTTTTAAAGCAAGTATCAGAAAATGCAAAAAGAAAATGAGAGCAGCAGTATCATTTCACGTGGAGATAAAGAGACCCAAAATGTGAATGGGTGTCAAGTCATCTGAAGAAAAGAAAAAAGAGAAGCAACTTCATTCACTGAGCTGGTGGTTTATGAGCTGGGGATTATGGGAATATTCATGACTCAATCAAGAAGCACAATGAATTGATGTTTGAAATAGCTCATCTTTTAAGTAAACTTTGGATAAATGGAAAGTAGGCTCCCTATTCACTGCGTATAGAAATGTGTAGCAGAAATAGTTGTTTGTTAATCCCTTCCTGAGTTGCTTTAATTTATGAAGTAAGTCAGTATTTTTAGGAATTCTCTAGTTATGTTTCATTCAAATATTTAATAGGAAAAGGAGTTTGCTTTATAATTAGCCATGATAATCTACACTCATGCTTGAGTTTTACCAAACTGTGTCTTATTTCACACAAAAGTAGTATTTGTAACAAGTGGACTCTTTGCTTTGCCACCCATTAGATTCGGCAGATGGTAGCCCATCCAGTGCGCGTTTCTGAATCAGAGAAGTATAAGCAGGGCTAATGCTTCAAGCCTTAACAGCTTCACCTTTAGGAGTGTCACCCACAGGGCTGAGTAAGGACCAAATGAAAGGTCCAGTTTGAAATCACTGCAAACATAGTAGACAAAAATTTTGAGAGAGAAAGCAAGAAATGTTCCTCAAAGGTGGGAAATCACCTGTGCCCTATATCATTCCATCAAGTGCATGGGATAGATGACAGGATGACAAGGCATGAGTCTCTTTTGTGTTGTTGAAAGGATACACTGGACACCATGTTTTTTTCTTATCACTCTTACCTCCATCCACTCCAATCCCTATCACTTCTAGTAATTTAAGTTCCTCTGCACCATTCTTGAGGTTTCCAGGCAAAGTAGTACCATGTTCTTGTGTCATAACTGTAAAACTTTGTAAAGTATACCCTTTTAAGGAGAATTTGACAGTTTTTTATGCTGTGGACTTCACATTAAATAATCCCTTGACTCTCATCCAGAAAAAGAGTTGCTTTCTGCTGAGTTGAAGAAGGTTTTGAGTTTCACTTAGATGTTAAGAGTTTGACGCCCACCTCCGAGCGCCTCTGGGCCTCCTTTGGTACACAGGGCTCTTGCTCTGCAGCCCTCGTGAGGGCAGACAGTCTGCCCCCTGAGGACGGGGCTCACTGACTGAGCGAGCCAGAGGGGGATCCCCAGCCTTGGAGCTGTCATGGCACCCAAGTCCTGTGTCAAACAGAAAAGAATTTTCGCTCCACATACTGCAGCATTCCCAGATAGAAAAATTTCTCCGTGAAGAGCGTAGAGGAGTTTCTGAGGCTTGAAACACCTCTTTAGGTTTCCAGTTGTGCCATTTGAAGTAGATGATTTTTTAAAGATCCTTCCAATATTCTATGAAGCAACTTAGAAAATCTTTTTCTTCTACCATCATCCTTTTTAAAAATTCTTTAGCTAATGAACACTTATGTAAAACTTTCTAAACATTCATTGAAAACAAATTAGTTCAGCTGTTTCTAAGCAACTAGATGGACTAATTTTAAAATTAAGAATGTGATCATATTTTGGGAAAGCAGGTATCTTACTGGTTTAATTGCTGTTTGAGAAATGGAAACTAGCCTACCAACAGATACAGACTCAATTTTTAAGAGATAGGTGGGGATTTTTTCCTCTACTTTAATCTTATAGAGAAAAAAGAAAATGCTGCTATTGTGATAACTGGTATGATGTTTTCTCAGTGAATAATTTTATTAAGACGACAGAGCCTTCCTCTCCTGCAGGCTTTTTGTTAGTCCTCATCTAACACCAAAAACCTAGAGTTAGTGCTAGGGTACTAGAAAAAGAATATAAAATTATTACGCTCCTTGTATGCAGCCATAGCAGGCTTTGTTGATTTCCTGCAGTGCTAAGAAGACTTCATAAGAAGGACAACTCTTCCTTTTCTTGGTTACTCATCACCAGTGAGTCCTTGCTAGTAAAGAAAAAAAAAGGCACTTAAATTTTTAGTCTTACAGATACCTTTTTAAATACAAAAGATAAAATGTTGAATATTAAATGCATCTTACGGGATTTTTACACTGGATAAAAGCTGGCTTACCAGTTGTACCTCTAGATCACTGGTTTTGAATCAGTCAGTTCACTTCAGCTGGTAATTCCCACTGATGTGTGAAATTGTGCTGAAAGAACACAAGTGTTTGTTGTCATATTTAGTATAACCTGTGCCTGAGACTAGGAAGTGTATGGAAAGTCAGCAGCGGAGCAGTGTGAGTCCCTACATGGAGGCCCTTAGGAAGAGGCCGGCGTGTACTTCAAGCAGTTCGAATTTGTGGGGAAATTTGCATTTCAGAGAAAAATCCGAGATTCTATTCGGAAGCCTTTACATTTAAAAAACTAAAAAAGCAAATAAATAATGTAAACCTACCTTTAGTGGTTGTGGTATTTTTAAACTTTATTCATTGGCAGCTGATAAAGTACTTTCTTGTATGTGTTTTTAAAACATTTTTGCCCTTACGTGGTTGTTGTAAATATTTCCCATAGTTTTGTCTTTAATTTTACATTTTGACATAAGAATGGAAGAGATTCTAGTCATGGTTGATATTTCCTCTGTAAGTTCTCCTATTACTTTATACTTAAAAAATCATTTTTCATTTTTAGGCCAGTTAAGCACTCACCTGGTTTTTTTTAATTTTTAAAAATTGTTTTATTTTCCTGTTTCAGACATTGCTAATTATGAATCCTTAATAGGACTTTAGAGAATCAGAGAGTTTATTAAAATTATACCTATAATTATACATGTATCTTATTCATTTTTCTGGGTAAGAGTCCATCGCTTTTATTAGCTTCCCGAGTAGGGCCGTCACACACCTCTCTTCTTTCCTTCTAAAAAATGGCTCAGCACCTCTACGCCAGTGCAGCTGGACATGATTTGGATCTAAGGTGCTAAGATGCTAATTCTTCCCTTTCTTCTAAAGAGTTAGAGAAGTATACCGGAGCGTTTAGTAAATTATTGTCTCCTATAATTTGAGATGCCCTTGAGAAATAAATGTGGTTTTTTTAACTAATTTCTTTTCTTTCTCCATAGAGAAAGTTAGAGAAATTCAAGAAAAACTTGATGCTTTCATTGAAGCTCTTCACCAAGAGAAATAAATTGTATTAAGTGAGTAAAACTTCTGTTACTACATTGTATTTTAAGCCTTCCAAATAGTTTATTCTGCTTGACTGTAGCCAGCTTATTCCTTATAATTTTAATGGCATGAGTGTCGGAAACTATCATATAATGTTCATTTGAGCAACTTGGTTACCTTCTGACTGAACTAAACATTTGGACAGAACAAAGGTGAACAGAGGGCTAAGATAGTTTATAATATGCAGTGACTCCAGTTGTCTGCACATAAAGAACTGAACTATAGTTGTCATTATTTTATTCCTAATGTTCATAGTGAATAGTTATGCATATGTTAAATATTCCACTTAAAGGCTTCTTATTTATTTGGCTTGACTAAAAATTTTCATAATTCTTAGTCCTAGCCTTTTGTATAAAAACATGTAGATAAGGCATTTTCCTGTTTAAGTCACTTATATCACTTAGAATTTAATTGCTCTTCTAGTATGTTGACTCCTGTCTGATTCTATAGTCTGGCATTATAGGAACATTCCTAGTAAAATGTGTATTTAAAGACTTCACTTGGTAGCATAGTCAGTTGTTCATTGTCACTGAAAAATTATTATCAGTAAGTCATTTGCCTCTATTAAAGGAGTCTAGAAAAAAGCAGTGATTGAGCCACTGTCATTTCCTTAAAGTATTTTGTCACTGTATTTGTGAGCATTGTGCTGCAGTCAGAACCGAAAGGAGGAGCACTGTGAGAGCTCCTTCCCTGGCCACCCTCAGCCCCACGCCTTCTGCTGTCGGGAAGTGGGTTGGGGAGAGCCGGCCAGAAAGGGGGACGCTGCTTGGACCGGGCATCATTCAGACCGTGCACCAACAAGCAAGGGGGAATGGAGTTAAGGCTCTTGGTTTCTTTCAGACAGATGTAGAGAAGTCTACAGAAATGCAGAATTATCTCTTAACACAAGCCAGAACTAGTTTATTATATAAGTATCTGTGTTTATAAATGTTTTATGTATCTTCCATGTATAAAAATTTATTTTTAAACCATAAAGCATTCGGTATTGTCCCAGTCATGACAGTTACTATGAATAGTTGCTAGTAGAGATGGACATTTTTAATGTCTTCATAATTTGGACCTTCTCTGTAGCATCAGCGTTTATGTGACCTTTTTGTTCATGTAGTCTTGGCGGGGGGGGGGGGAGGGGGGTCATGAAAGCCACAGAAACCCTATTAAAAATGCAAGCTGTGTTGCTGGGAGTTTAGTGACTGTGAGGACATCCAAAGCCACGCAGTATTTCACGTAACAGTGGCTATGCTCCAACTTGGTCAGCACGGCATCTGGAGTTACCAGGCTGCCCAGGATTTGCCTTTTCTCTATCAGGGCAGCCCCGGGCAGTCCCGAGCAGCAACTGCTGGTGCTGTTTCCGCGTGGAGAGGCCCTGATCGAGGGAAACCATCCTGATTTTCCTTGCTGCCTAACTGCCAGGTCTCTAAGACTCTTCCCAACCCAGGTGATTTAGGACTCTGTGAACTCATAAGGACAGATAATCTATTTTGTAGTCTGCAGGTCCATTTGAAAGAACAAATCTGGGCTGGGCATATAGCTCAGCGGCACAGTGCCTGCTTGGCAAACATGAGGTCCTGAGTTTGATTCTGGCTACCAAAAAAAAAAAAACCATCTGGCAGAGTGATAGCCTTGCTTCATTGCAACCAAGCACCTGAACGAACAGTTCTCAATTACAATTTTAACATGTGGGATTGCTGAGTATGATAGTTTTGCTTTTTTAAAAATTAGTTTTCAGTAACTATAATTCTGATTTGCTGAGGATGTTTATATTCAACATGGGTGTACAGATGCTTCAGTACCAATTTTAATTTTAAACTCCTTGTATAAGAAGTTAATTCTAAGCCAGGCGTGGTGGCACATGCCTGTAATCCCAGCACTCGGGAGGCTGAGGCAGGAAGATCGTTGCGAGTTCGAGACCAGCCTGGGCTACAAAGTGAGCTCAAGGCCAGCCTGAACTACATAGCGAGACCCTGTCTCAAAAAGACCAAAAAAGAAAAAAAAAGTTAATTCTAGCATCTCTTTATGGGTATATCATGTTTGATAAAATTATGCTAATATTTTGTGGTAGGCAGTATTCCTTTTGTTTGTTTGTTTGTTTTTGTTTTTCTTCACGTACCAGGAATCAAACTCACGACCTTGCGCTTGCCGGGCAGGTGCTGTGCCGCTGAGCGAATAGCCCAGCCCCGGTAGGCGATATTCTAAATAATTTTAGTAAAACTACCAAACTTAGGCAGTGAAATTTCAGTATTTTTATAATCTCAAAGTAATAAGGTTTGTCTAAACATTTTGCATTTGTCTCCCCAGACCTAAGTTTATCAAATGGGTTTATTTTTACAGATTCTACTGGTAATATAGTCACCTCTGCATATACCTGAAGAAAGAACACTTCAGTCTTGTCCTGCCTCCTCTTCTCCCGCTGTCCACCTTTCTAAACATACAATAAAGTCATGGGCTGACGTAACTGACGTGTGTTACAGGCGCTCACCATCAGCTGCCTCTTGAGTGGAAGAACAGTGGGGATGGCGCTGACGTCCCATTGGTACTGCAGGGGCCGCTTGGGTAACATAACTGGTGTGGCCATTAGGTGCGGCCCTTACAGATAAGAAACTGGCCGTCTGCTTGCTGTCTCGGGGTGGCACTAGTGTAATTCATCAGCGGATATCACTCGCCTCAGTTTCTTTTCCAGAAATGTCACGCTAGTTGATTTGGAATAAAACTTCGAGCAATTTTTAAGAATTACCAGTTGTATGTAAAATGATGGTAGCCTACTAAAGTATCATCCGTACCTGTAATGTCTGTATCCCAGGAACCATTTGACCGCGAAAGTCCTTTTATATTTACCATGTGGAAAAAACTGGCTAGCAAAAGAACTCTTCACATAAGTTGGTTTGAGGACAACAGTTCAATGCATGTTCATTTTTTAAAATTCAGCCTTTCATTACTAGCTTAGAAATTTGCCCTGGAAGCCAGTTTCCCTCCTCTTGCGATTTTTACACTCTGTATCCGTGAAAATATTCATTTTCAATGTCATATACTTAAGTTAGGCTTTCTGTTCACAGCAGCTGTTTCCCTGTTGGTAGGGCCATGGTGTCATGGCACAGGATGAGGACGAGTAGGCATAATCATCGAGTAGTTTCACTGAGCCTCGTGTGGAACAACTGAAGCAGGCACAAGGAAACGGCTGTATTTCGTGTGACCATTTCATTTCTTTTCTCTTGCAGTAATAGGAGTCAGACCTAGGGCCTTGTGTGTCATAGGCAAGCACTCTACCACCTATCTGCATCCCTAACCGCAGTGTACGGGTTCAAACAGAACTTATATCAACAATTAGAACAGTCTTGACCTTCCCCTCTCAGCTGAAAATTTACAATTGAATCCATTGCAGCTCAGTTGCAGTGGTGCCCTCCCCACGTTTGCTTGGGTTCTACAGTATGTGATTTTGTTAGTTGGCCAAAGAATTTTAAAGTAAAGAAACATGCCATATTTTACTTTAACTGTCTTTCTCATCTCCTTTTTATTAAGCCTTTTATGTTGATAAAAATGTTCATTCTGTGACAGTTTTTATTTTACAAGTCACTACATCTTATAGTTTTTTTGGATTGGTTTTTTGGTAAGGATTCCCTTTTTCCACTTTTTATTTTTTAACAGCAGGGTACCCTTTGTTATAGAGATCTGACACTTAATACGCAAAATTGGAGAATGTCACAAAATACTGTATCTCAGAAACTCCGAACTCAGTAAATACTTGTTTTCAAGTGTTAAGAAAAGTAGATCCAGTTTTCCTCAGCTAGTAGCATGTTGTTCTTGGTAGATGAGCAGTCAGGAGCCTTTCACGTTTCTTTGGGTCTCAGTGTGAGCAGAAGGGAGCAGAGCTGCCCGTGCCGCACACATGGGGGCCACGGCTCTGCACTCCAGTCCCGCCCTGCAGCCAGTGCTGCCCTGGGCGAAGACATGTGGCAGCAGGGATGATTTTGCAATTGCAAGACACTCATTTTAGCCACACGTCCACTCCTAAAGCAGGAAGACATAGGGCCGTATTTGTTTATTTGTTTCTGAACTAGAGTTAGAGAAAATGCTGTCCACTGTATTTCTCCAGATTTCTCCTAAACAAAAGGCTGATGTTAGGCGGTGATCTTACCACATCCCTTAAGCTTTCCAGAGGGAGGAGGAGAACTTCTGTTTCTTTGAGGAGATCTGTACTGTAACTTAAATACTTAAGCAGACGATAAAATTACATTATTAAAAATCTCATGTTGGGGCCAGGGATATAGCTCAGTGGCAAAAGCACCTGCCTCACAAGTGCAAGGTCCTGAGTTCAATTCCCGGTACCCAAAAAAAAAAATTAAATTAAATTTAAAAAAATAAAAATCTCATGTGACCCCTGACATCCTGACATTCTCCGCCACTGCCCTCGGTAATACTGCTTCTTGCGTGGGTTTTTTTTAGCTGATCTCATACTAAGCATGCTTTTTTTTTTTTTCCCTTGAAAGTTAGGTATTTATTAAATGCAGGTGTTAGAAAAAAAATAAAATTCAGTCCCAACAGTGAACCCTGGGTGTTGTATCTGTGACCCAAAAACAAGAAATTACTGAAATTTAAATTTAAAAAATAACTCCATATATTCAGTCTGGAGAAGTTAAAGTCTAACTGGACAAGGCAGCATTTGTTTTTCATGTCCAGATTTCCAAAGAATGGAGTGAAGAAAGCTCTGTGTGAAAGACTGATTAATTTTAAATCAGTGGTGTGCAGAGTCGGTCGGTCCGGATGATTGATCGGAAGAGTCAGCGTGCGGCCGGCACAGGAGGGCGCAGGTGGACAGCGCTTGCTGCTTCCCGTTGCGCTGACCAGCTACAGCGACTGGCAGAGCGCCCCCTCACCAGCACCTGCGCTCCCTCCTCTCTGAGTGGCCCCCATTTTCCAGGCTGTATTCCCTGGGTTCCTTCACAGAAACTTAGTGACCAAATGCAACAAGACGACATAAAAATGAGCGGGAAACATCGCCAGAGGGGCGCTCCCTGCCTTTATAACTTGGGGGTTTGCATACAAGACTCAGTGTGGGTTTAGAAGACTACTTCCTTAACTAGCTAATCATTTTGTATTTATTTATTTTAGATGTTTATCTGAGAAGAGAGACACGGTGTTTTCTCTTTCGAGTAAATGTGATCATAATAATGGCTTTGATCTCGATTACCTAAGCTGGCATATCTTATGCTTTCATATTTTAGCAGTGTGGAAATGTGCTTGAAAATACGCTTACCCTTTGGAATGATCACGTGTTGTTTAAACATTCAAAACTTACCTTGTGTTTGCTTGTACACTGTGAACTGTATTTTTAAGGCTTCACATGCCATGTAGATATTACAGAACTCATATTTTGCCTGTGCTTGATCTAAGTTCGTGTAGATGAGTAATTAAAAGATACTTAATCACATTATAATTCTGTTATCGGAGAGCATCTTTTAAAGTTTTCCCTGTTTTATGAAGGAGAGGAGAAAACCCTGCGTACCTTGGGTCATTTGACCCCATCAGATCATCGAATTCATGATGTAGCAAACTTCTAATGTGGCTCTTCTGGATGCTTGACTTTGACCTACCTTGCGTTGCACAGTTGTAACCGTGTTTGATCCATGTGTTTTCTTGTTTTGTTTTGTTTTGTTTTTTTCATAATACTTGTCAAAACATTTTGATATTTTCTTTGGTAAAATATATAAAACCTGTTTTCTGACTGCACTTGCTGCTGTGGCCGTCCTTTTCACGAATGATGCGAACGTGTTTGCCAGGCTCGAGGCTCACGGAGAAGTCACGGCCGAGTCCGCGGGCCGGACGAAGCTGTGAAGATGGCCAGGCCCTGCCCACCGCCTCAGTAAAACTTCCTGCTACTCATTTTTTAGTTTTTATTTCTGCCAGCACTTTGCTCATACGTGATGCTGATTTCTCAGTCATTAGATGCGCAAAGCCGCGTAGGATGCGGGTATCCCTTCTCCGGGGTTCCTGTACTTGGCTAAAGTCAACACCGGGAAGATTCTAGAGTCGTGATTACGTCAGTGATACACAGTAACTGTAGAACGATATGTTTCTGGTCAGTAAGTGTCAGGAACCTTTTTTTACAAATTCCTTTAGAAGGGACATAGGCAGTAATTGTATTTTAAATTAATTTTTCATCGTCTCTGTGGTTCAAGTTAAAAAGAAGCTTGAAGAAAAAGTTCCTAAAGACTTAGCAGAGCAGTTGTTTTAGCGTGTGCAATATAAGAGTCAGTATAACTGTCCTGTGCCTGTAGATGATTCAGATGTGTTACTGAATCATTGTGCAAGATGTATATTCAAGTAATCACGAACCCTGCCAGGGATATAGCTCAGTGGCATAAGCACCTGCCTGGCAAGCGCAAGGTCCTGAGTTCGATTCCCGGTACCAAAAAATAAATAAGTAAAAAAGTAATCACGAACCCAGATTGTGATTACTGAAATCGTCATGTTCTACCCATATTAGCTGAGCTGATAAATATAGAGAACTTAGAGTTAAGTACTGCCAAAATTGTTTGCAAAGGTTAAAATGTTGGACTGTATCGAGAAAGTTCAAATTAGGTGATCTTTAGCCCAAGAAGACAGTTCATAAAACGAAGTGTAGGAAGCACCTACATTGTAAGTCATTAGGTTAGAGCTACACCCTAACGTGAGGGTGGTGTTACCAGCGTGGAGCTTGAGAATGCACTGCTCTGTCTGCGCGAGGCATCGTATGAGTGATGCCCACATCCCGTAGAACAGAAGGGATTGCTGGAGATCAAGTCAGTGACGAGGAAGTAATACTTACTTTTTCAGATCATTTCCTTTAGTGGTATGTAATGTTTCTTTGCCCTGTGCAGTGTGGGCCTCCCGTGTGTGGGGCCGGTTCCGGTACACAACAGTCTCCATTCCTTTTTGCCTCCCTCCCTCCCACCCCTCCACCCCTTCCTTTTGTACACATCTGCAGTACGTGAGTACTGTAAGTGCTCCTTTTAAGTGGCTTTAATTCCAAGTTGTTCTTGGAATTAAAGTCATTGTTGTGCCTGTTAATTTTTGTTTTTTGGTTTTTTTTTTTTAATTCATTAACCCAGATGTCAACTGGTTCCTATCCAAGTATTTGGGAATATTCAACAAATATTCTGAGATACTGAGAAAGTAGCTGAGAGTCACCGCGAAGACCCTGTCTCCTCACCCTGCTGCCCACAGCCTCCGCGAGCCCAGTCTCCAGCTGTCTCCCCAGTCTCACCCCCTAGCGGTCAAGGCAGAGCAGCCCCCTGTGCATCCTCCTAGTTATTCAGTCACAGAGCAGCAGCGGAGAAATCAGAATTTCACCCACCATTACGGTCCACGTCGTCTGGCACATACTTGCATTTGCCCATGAGACCACTCATATTTGTGGGAAATTTTATAGGGACTAGGTTAACTCCACCTTCTTGCTTTGCTAACGTTTACCCGAGAAGTAGGTCACGTTGTCAGCTGCCCTGCCTGGCCTCTTTGCCTACCTCCTAATCTAATGTCAGGGCCTTGGCTTTTGCAAATACTTCGTGATGTATCTACTCTGAGAAAATACAGCGTGTGTTCTGCAGAAATGTATAACCTGACGATGTACCTGTCATCACCTCGGTTCATTAATGTCGGTACGGGTGATCTGTGCCAACAGTGTTCTCCACACAGATGCAGATACCTCCTTCTTCTGACCGTGAGGACTCGAGGCCCTGACCATTTTCTTTGCTTTG